AAAAATGTAAAAAGTTTCCAGCGAGGAGGATCCGATCCACAAAGTCCCCCTTGCCGTGCCATCCAGAACCCGTCGTGTTATCCACTGCGCCATCCGATCCGTTGCAGTGGTCGTGAAGGGAGCGCTGACAAAAACATCACTCTTGCGTCGGTGCATGCCAAGTGTGTTACCACATGATACTTACATTTTGACTTTAATCGAATCTATTTTGAGGCCTAATTAGTGACCACCTCATAAACTATGCATGCTCGAAGTTACAAGCAGAACGGAGCCCATTAAGATTGTTAAAACCGCCCATTCTTGTCAAATTCTTTTCACTCAGTTTTTGACCTACCCAGAAACGCATAGCAAAAATGAAACCCATTTTTGTGATCCTTGTATGGACCCCTACAACAAGCAACAAACCATTTCCAAAAAGCGCGCCACGACCTGAAAGACCTCCCTTGTTAGAGGAAAATTCAACAGTTCACGTCTATAAAAAGCGAAAGCATGAACTTCTCACCGTCACGGTCGCCGTAGGTAAAGAAGTGTGGAACCGAGAAGCCGCCTCAAAGATGTGCAGGTGATCATCAATGGTGTTATCCTGTCGATTGGAGCTCTCGTTCAATAAGACGAAATTTAATCTGGACTCTTACTAAAAGTGTCGCAGGACTTCCCGATTACCCCAAAAACTTGAAGTAAAACTGAATGCGAAGTTTACTGCGGAGAAGTCAGAATAAGCTCTTCTTTTCACTTGCTCTGATGGAGTAATCAAATGAAGAGCTGGTCTGGAAATGATGCTGTTTACTATGGTCCACAAATCGTTTTGCCATATTAAAGCTAGTTTTCGAAATTCGTCACCACAACTACGTAATCTTGAAGGGCACAACTTCGCGATCGTTTTCTCAAACAATCAAGAAGAATTTCAGCGAACTGTTTCTGCAGAACGAATTGGATGCCATACAGCCCGGACCAGTGGAATGCACCACAAGGAGGATGCTACTTTCCTGTTGGAATTTCTGCAATTCAGGTAGGAATATCGGAAAAACTGCAACGCAAAACTGCTGGCTGCTAGCTGTACGTACAGGATTGTTCGCTGCGGAATGCGGTGCGCAGCTTAATACATACTCAGTTGTACAGCAGAAGCGAGAGGAAGCAGACAATTAGGGAATTTGGCTATGGTCAGGCGTGGGGCTGGCCGTGCGGCAGCGCGAGCGGAGTTGGGAGATACCACTCGGCTACACTACTTTTTAGCCTCTGTCCCGTGCACTTATGACTGGAGATCGAACGAAATTTATCGCAGTTGCATGCTTGCCAATCTCGCGCCTGGTAAGGACCTGGATCCATCACACCTAGTAAGGATCAGGATCCATAGGGGTGAGTGTGCAGTTTGTATTCAGAGGGCCGAGTACAAGCTGTCTATAGGTCTTTGCAAGTCTCTTTCACCGGTGTAGTG